TCTCTCTGTGAAACTCAATCCTCAAAAAGTGGATGAAGACTGTACGTTGAAGGACGAGGATGTTGTTCTGGTTGTAAAGAAGTGAAACCTTCCTCTTTTCCCATCCTACAGGATGACCATATACCCTATTCTAACCCTGATCTGGCTTTGGCAGCCACTGGGGAATCACAACTCAGGGGAAGGAAATGGAGACACCCAAACTAGAACTTGTGTTATATTGGTGTCATCATGTATAATGACCTGCATAAAGGACCTGGTAAGCCAGTGAGCTATGTGCAATCAATCAAAAATTTCATTTTAAAGTACACTGACAGAGGTGTGAAGCTATATCCCTAAAACATACACAGAATTGTAACTCAACATTATGTCAATAAACATAATAATCACCACAGTGGGGCCTCCCTGGTGGTGTTGGGGTTCAATCGCAGCACTGTCACTGCTATGGTCTGAGTTCAATTCCTGGTCAAGAAGATAATCCACATATATGGCGCAGCAGACCTTTTCTGTCTTGCCTGCTGCTTCCCTTAGCAGTGTATTTCAGTAAATCCTCCTGTTCTGCTCCCTGCTCCATCTCTGGTGCGTCCTGTCCCCACCCCCAACACTTCTGGCCGACACCCCAGTTCTATGCAAAAAAGATAAAACTTAAAAAAAAAATCACCACTATATGCTGAGCTTTTTAAAAAAAATCATGCTTTAGGAATATTTTTGCTTTTTTCAGGTTATAAAATAAATGTACTCATTTAAAAATAAAATGACAGGGTAAAGAAAAATTTTTTAAAAAAAGAAAAAAAAATGAAGCATCTCAGAAATATATAACCAGACGTGAAAGACCAATGACAATAATTAATTAGTTGGCACCTATTTAACCTTAAGGCTTAAGACTTTTCTTATTAACACCCGCACTCCTTCAAAAAGTTTTCTCTTTATTCTTCAATCTCTCTACTCTGCAGGTTCTTCCTCTTCCAGCATCCCTTAAACGCATCCTCTTCTTCCCACTCATATAAGCTCCACAAAGCATCATCCATGATGTGGGCTCATTAACACCTACATGGTGATTTCTTAATCCGTATCTCAAGCTTGAACAAGTCTAGGTTCACATTTATGCATACATACATGATGTACATTCCTCAAAGTCAATATATTCACAAATTCTACCTTTGTTCCCTTCCACCTACTTTAGTCCTATATTTCCTCTCTCTCCATTTAAGATTTTCTCACTCATTTAGTCTCCCCAAGCTGGCAAATTCAGTCATCTTTGATACCTTCTCAAACAGCTGGTGAGCAAATCTTCCCTATAGTCTACTTCCGAAATGTTTCCTTCCTTCATTCCTTCCTCTCCCTCCCGCTGTCATTTTCAAAGCTAGAACTTAGGCACCAGTCATTTTTGACTTGGGCTAAAAGGTCAAACAAATATTTCATAAGTACCACACAGTTAAAGGAGTTGAAAATATGACGATTAATAAAACAAATCACTACCATCAAGCATCTCTTTAGGTAGAGAGATTAAATAAGATAATATGATGTGACAAGTACTATAATTAGAGCAAGATCCATAAAATATAACCTCTTTCCCATCTGATCTAATCTTACAACTACCTGAATTATCCTTTAAGAATACAAACCAGTGGTGGCGCGGGGGTTAAGATGCAGCACAATGAAGCTGTCCGCAACCACTGCAGCATGAGTTCAACCTCCCGCCAGGGAGGTGACCAACATGGCGCAGCAGACCTCTCCTGTCTTGCCTGCTGCTTCCCTCAGTGGTGTATCTCAGTCAGTCTGCCTGTTCTACTCCCCACTATGTCTCTGGTGAATCCTCGCACCCCCTATACCTCTGGCCTATACCCCAGTTCTTGTATGCATAAATAAATAAATCTTAAAAAAAAAATACAAACCAGATCATAGCACTATTTTGTAAAACCATTGATGATTCTACTCCACTGCTAAAGGAATAAAGTCCAATTTCCTTAATATCATGCAAACACTTCACAGTCTGATCCCAACCTATCTAACAGCCTCAGCAATTGCTTTTCTTTCACTTCACACCCCATAATCAGGTGACATATAACTAGTCTGCTACTGGAGAGGCTTCCTCCTTGTGTCCAACAGTGTTAAGTACTTTCGGGCTCTCTATCAATGAATACTTCCTGTCTGAAATTTTCATTAACTTCCTCTGCCAGTGTAGTTTTTATAAAAGTTATTATAAACTTATTACTTTATACTGTATTTTGTTTTTCTCTTTCCCTCTCCTACTAGGCTGAGATTCTTAAGGATAGAAACTATGTCTTGTTATTTGTTGTATTTTTCCCAAAGAATAGCAAAACAGGCATGTTTGCTATGTGGATGATGGGGTGGATTTACAGAGAACTAACATACTAATCATTACATTATTTCTAAGTTTTTGGTCTGGAATCAAGGGAATACACTAAGTTCACATCACATAGTTTTTTTCTTCCTTCTTATCATTCATCTTACTATCTGTATTTCCAACAGACACAAAACAACAACAAATAAAGATAAAATCCCCGGCCATAAAGGGACTTATATTCAGTTAAGAAGAAAACATGGATAAAATAAAGCAGTCTGATAGGGCAGAATAAGGCTAGGGGAGAAACATTCTACTTTAAATGGTGAAGGGGGAGAAGTCACAGAGGTTTCTCTGAGAAGGTAAATATAAGTTAAAGCCAGAAGGATGAGAAGCAACCAGCTAAGCAAAATCTGGGGGTAAAAAATTCTATGAGCAGAAGGAACTGTAAGGGCAAACACTCAGATGCAGAAATGCACTTGTAGGTGGAGGGACATAAGAGAAAGTATCACTAAAGAAGAAAGCATGAAAGTCATGGTCAAATCCTATCTGCACCCACGTTGACTTTATGGTTCCTAATTTACTCCTTCTAATGTCTACATAATTTTCTACTTATTAACAGGCCTCCCCAGTGGCGCAGCGGTTGAGCGCTGGGTTGCGAAGCTGCCCGAGATCTCTGCGGTGCCGGTTCGATTCCCGGCTGCTCCCCAGCCACCGGAGGAGGGTCCCACATGGCGCGCAGACCTCTCCTGCCGCCCGCTGCTCCCCTCAGCAGTGTACTTCGGTCCTTCTGCCTGCTCTGCACCCCGCTCTGGCTCTGGTGAATTCTCTCACCCTCCCGCGCTTCTGACTGTACCCAGTGCATGTATAAACAAACAAACAAACAAACAACAAATAAATAAATAACATGCCTCTATAAAAAAAAAATTAAAAAAAAAATTTCTACTTATTAACATAAGAGCAAGAGAATGATAAAATATGACTTACAGCACACTCTATTGTTAGATAGATGTCAAATAATTCTAAAAGTATCTTTTTTGGTTTCTGTTAAATATAATTCCTTTACAAACCTGATAAGCACACAAGAATAAAACCAAATGAAAAGAAAGGTAAGATCTTTCTACTTACTACAAAGCAAATCATAAAGAGAACTACAAAATGACCCTAAGATTCATGAGAGGAAATAAAACACATCATTCTGATACTCTGAAAATACACATGGACTACAGATTTATCCTTTTAAATGAATGGATTTTTTCATTTTCATGTAAAATTAAAGATCATGAAATATAAATCCAGACTTAAGTGGTTAAATACAAAAGATTTCTGGTTTTTACTAGCCAACGTTTTTGATCACGTTTATAGGAATTAAACAATTTTTGATGTTTTAAGAATGCATGAATTTATAAACTGAGGCATTATAAACTGCCTCTCAGCAGTAATTTTGTACATGTTTATATCATAATCTATTTAATGCAAATACTACTATGATGTTAGAGCAAAGTCAATCCATTCCATAAATGAATATTCACTGAACTAACTGCTAAAGCAACTCATGAGTCGCTAGGAAGTCAAACAGTGTGAAATTACACATCTTACTCCTGTTCTCAGTAGCATCTGCTGGTTTTGCTAAGCTGAACATGAACACATCACTAAATATAAAGAGGCTTTCATTATCCTAGTCAGGTTTTTTAAATGCTAGGCTGCCAGCCTTCTACTGGTAAAAATAAATTCATTCTCAGCATCCCTAAATTCAATTCTGTACTGAGTGATCTCTGCCTAGTGCAATGATGTTTCCCTGAAGCTCTCAAAATCATTGGCGATAGTAGAGATAACAAACAATAATAATCTATTCTCCCATCCTCCTGTTTATGACAATAACCCATCATCTCATTAGCTGAAAGAAGAAGAAAATATTTTAGCTTAAAAGGAAACCTCTTCACACTCTTCAAGCTGATGTCCAACATCATACGTTTATGTTTCATCTTCTCTTCCCCACTCACCCAGGGAGATCCTTAAAAAGGATATAAATAACCAAAGTATTTTCTCTGCAATTCCACATCTTCAAACTGGTTGATTTATCATCATTCATTATTTTACTCATAAAGTCATATGTAATATTAGACAGTCTACTTCCTTGATTGGGAAATAAAATTGTATAATTTCTCCGTGGAGTTATACCTCAATCCTGATATGGTGGGGGGAGGGGTTTCCAAGAAGAAACCTAAATATTTATCAGCAGGAAAACCTCTCTGAAAGAGATGCATATACTTGCATACTAACGCTGGATATTATGAGTAAGCATTACTCTTCCCTTATTAGGAGTAGAATATGAATTAAAACAAGGTCTTATCATGGACCAATAATATTTAAGAGTTTATTAGAAATAATTCAGAGTTCTATATCTTAGAACAACTAAGTCAAAATCTTCATTACACTGTTATCTGTATGCAGACTGCTCTACATCATAAAACCTCAGAAGTAGTGAGAAATTTTTAAATTTACCAGACATGAAGAGACATTAACTTAAATAACATTTATAAAAGATAATGACTATAGTCTCCTTCACAAATTCTCTAGTTCTTGTAACAGGTCCTCCTAAAGAAAAATTTCTCATAAAATTATAGCTGCTTATTTTAAAATACACCAAGGATAGTATAGTTGCTGCTGCTGTTAGTGAAAGCCAGTAAGTTCTTACCTAATCTGAGTTCTCCGAAGTTCCCGCATCCTATCTTCTTGCCAACCCTGAAGTTGGGTCCCACCATAAGAACCCCAGAGGATGTTGAGGAGCCAGATGGTCGGGAAGAGTGTGTACTCCGTTGAGCCATGGATTTGGTTGTCCGTTGTCTTTCATCCTTTTCCCTACTAGTATGGTCCATGATCTTAAACGCAGAGTTTCTGTGCAATGAGTAGCCTCAGTGTGTATACGTCTCTTCAATATATAATTATGTTCAAATTAACTGTAGTTAGAGAAAGGGAAGGAGTTCTTTTGGCACCATATTTATGTTTCTAATGTAGCTCCAGGGAATAGAAAACCATTGATTAGTTCTTGTAGAACATGTAGTCTGTAGGTCTCATGTATAGAAAGGTATTTTTAACCTAGGTAAAAAATCAAGAAAACATACAGTTAAAAATTAAATTTTAAAATGAATTAAGAAAGTTACCACTAATGAGAATGGATTCTATCAAAAAATGAGCAAGGGGAATAACTTTTTGTTGTTATTTTGTTGTTTTATATACTAATTCTGTTGTTGTTGTTCTGTTTATATACTAATTTTGTTGTTTTATATACTAATTCTGGCTTGCTGTCCTCCAACAGGTTTATCTAAACCAGTTATTCATCTGTTAACATTAGCTCAGTGAAGGAGCCTCCCTGGTGGTGCAAGGGGTTAAGACGCAACCTATGAAGCTCACTGCAGCCATTACAGCACAAGTTCAATCCCCGGTGAGGGAGGTGACCAACATGGCACAGCAGACCTCTCCTGATTCACCCGCTGATCTCCTCAGCAGTGTATTTCAGTCAATCTGCCTGTTCTGTTCCACACTCTGTCTCTGGTGAATCCTCTCAACCCCCAAAACTCTGGCCTGTACCTCGGTTCTTGTATGTATAAATAAATCTTTAAAAAAAAATTAGCTCAGTGGACTGCAGACCATGGCAGCTAAGAGAATGCAAAATATATAAATTGCTTTTTTCTAGTGCATATGAACCAAAAGAAAGTTATCTGTTGACTTTTCAATATCAACTAACAGGAAGATATGGTGGGATTAAAGCAAATTAAATAAACTGAGAGCAATATAATTAAAAGCTCCTTTAATTTGGACAGAATCTATCGGAAATGAAGTTACTTATTTTCCCTCTTCCCATCCCCACCATTTATCAAGTACTAACAGCAATCAAACAATCCAAAACAAGTCAGTGAACTACTTCTATGAAGGACTTTCCAAAACCCTACAGGTATAAAGTAGTCCAAGACTAACGGTTCATAAAGCTCAACCCAAAGTTAAAAAAAAAACAACTGAGATACAAAAAAATCTTAAACATAAAACTCATGACTAAGGCCAAAGCCACAAGGAGGAGAAAGACTTACACAATAGGAAACAACCCAAATGCCCAAAAATAGATGACTGGATCAAGAAGACATGGTATATATACACAATGGAATATTATTCAGCAATCAAAAAAGATAGACTCGTGCCATTCGCAGCAATGTGGATGGAACTAGAAAGAATTATGCTCAGTGAAATAAGCCAGAAGGAAAAAGAAAAGTATCAGATGGTTTCACTTATAGCAGGAATATAGGGGAACCAAATAAGACATCAGTGTAAAAAAATAGTAACAGTACAAAACACAACAAAACAAAAACAGACATAAGTCAGAGACCTACTGCAGGGAAGGAGGAGGGAGAGGGATCAGAGGGAGGGAGGGAGGAGCACAGGGGACTGAGGTGATGGTGCACGGGTGCATTGGTGAAGGAAATTCTATGGGGACTACACCTAAGGGGGTGGGGGTAAGCAAATACTGTTTAAAAATGAACAATGGGCCTCCCAGTGGCACAGTGGTTGAGCGCTGGGCTCCGAAGCTGCCCACAGCCTCTGCAGCACCGGTTCGATCCCCAGCCACCGGCGAGGGTCCCACATGACGTGACAGACCTCTTCTGCCGCGCCCATTGCTCCCCTCAGCAGTGTACTTCATCACCCTGCCTCTTCTGCTCCCAGCTCTGGCTCTGGTGAATTCTCTCACCTTTCTGTGCTTCTGACTATACCTAGTGCTTGTATAAATAAATAAATAAATCTTAAAAAATAAATAAAAAATAAAAATGAACAATGATGTAAAAAATAAAAAATTAATATAAAAATAATAATAAAGAAAAGTCGGATTAAAAAAAACAAAGACTTCCACAATGAAAACCAGGAGATGTCAATAAGGATTTGATCATAACATAAGGAAATAGAAAAACAGGCTCATGGATGGCAAGTGTCAATACAGTCAAAATGTCTACCGAAAGCAGTAAATTTAATGCAACACTCATGAAAATAACAAAAATATTCTTTAAAAAAATTGAACAAAAATAATCAAATTTATATGGAACCATAAAAGTCTTAGAAAAGTTAGAACAATTCTGAGGGAAAGGAAAAAAGCTAAAGCATTACTTCACCTGACTTTAAATCATACCACAAAGCAACAGAAATTACAGTATTGTCCTAGCATCAAAACAGACACAAGGATTAATGGAACAATCAAAATCTCAGAAATACATCCACAAATTTATCAGTACTGAATTTATGATAAAGTAGCCATGACCATACACTGGGGAAAAGTATCTATTAACAAATGGTACTGGGTAAACTAGAAGGACAAAGGACACATGTTAAAGAATGAAGCTGCATCACTCTCTAACTCTAAAACAAAAAAACGTTTAATTTTGATTAAAGATTTAGATACAAGACCTGTAACAATAAAATATATAGAAGAAAACACTGGCAAGTCTGTGGGAGAATCAACCCCTATGACAAGGAACAGAAGTGGAACAAATGGAATTATCTAATTTTAAAGGCTTTTACACAGCAAAAGAAAACATGAATAGATTTATTTTTTTTTAAAGACTTATTTTTATTTATTTATACAAGCACTGGGTAGAGTCAGAAGCGCAGGAGGGTGAGAGAATTCACCAGAGCCAGAGCGGGGAGCAGAGCAGGCAGAAGGACCGAAGCACACTGCTGAGGGGAGCAGCGGGCGGCAGGAGAGGTCTGCGCGCCATGTGGGATCCTCCTCCCGTGGCAGGGGAGCAGCCGGGGATCAAACCGGCGCCGTGGAGGTCGCAGGCAGCTTCACAACCCAGCGCTCAACCGCTGCGCCACCAGGGAGGCCCCTGAAGATATACTTTTAAAAAGAAAACAAACAGGGGGATCTCAGCATGTGATATCACCACTGTGGCCTGAATTTGATCCCCAGCCAGGGAGTTAACCCATGAATGGCTCAGCAGACCTCTCCAGTCTTCCTACTGCTCTCTTCAGTAGTGTATTTCAGTAAATCCTCCGTTTCTGCTCCCCTCTCTGTCTCTGTGAATCCTCTCTTCTCATTCCCTGCTCCTCTGACCTACACCCCTGCACCTCTGACCTACACGTCTATGCAATAAATATTAAAAAAAGAAAACGAGGGCCTCCCCAGTGGCTCAGCGGGTTGAGCGCAGCGCTGTAAAGCTGTCTGCAGCCTCTGCAGCGCGGTTTCGATTCCCGTCCAGTCAGGAAGATGCCCACATGGCGTGGCAGACCTCTCCTGTCTTGCCCACTGCTCCCCTCAGCAGTGTATTTTGGTCGTCTGCCTGTTCTGCTCCCCGCTCTGTCTCTGGTGAATCCTCTCGCCCTCCTGCGCCTCTGGCCTGTACCCCAGCTCTTGCATAAAAATAAATAAATCTTGGGCCTCCCCTGGTGGCACAGCGGTGGAGCGCTGGGCTGTGAAGCTGCCCGCAGCCTCCGCAGCGCCGGTTTGATCCCTGGCTCTCTGGCGAGGGTCCCACATGGCGCTGCTCCCCTCACAGTGTGTTTTGTCAGTCTGCCTGATCTGTTCCCCACTCTGGCTCTGGTGAATCCTCTCACCCTCCCGCACTTCTGACTGTACCCAGTGCTTATGTAAATAAATAAGTAAATCTTCGGGGGAAAAAAAAAAAGACCAAGGGTTCCTTTAAAACAAACAAACAAACAAATAAATAAATCTTAAAAAAAGAAAAGAAAAGAAAAAACCCAGTTAATAAATAGGCGGGTCTCCCTGGTGGCGCAGAGGTTAAGCACTGGGTTGTGAAGCTGCCCGCAGCCTTTGCAGTGCCAGTTTCGATCCCCGGCCACCGGGTGAGGGTCCCACAGGGCGCACAGACCTCTCCTGCTGCCCGCTGCTCCCCTCAGCAGTGTACTTCGTTAGTCTCCCTGTTTTGTTCTCTGCTCTGGCTCTGGTGAATTCTCTCACCCTCCCGCGCTTCTGACTGTACCCAGTGCTTGTATAAATAAATGAATAAATCTTAAAAATAAATAAATAAATAGGCAGCAGATCTAAACTGACAATTCACCAAAGAGGGTATTTAGAAGGCAATAGATACATGAAAAAATGTTTATCATTTATTTTAATAAGGTAGATGCAGACCAAAGCCACAATAAGGTATCATCTCACACCCACAACAATAGTACATATTAAAAAGATCCCCAACAAGTGCAGGAGAGGATGAGGAGTCAGGAGAACCCTATTACACTGCTGGTAGTAGTATAAATTGATGCAGCTATTTTGGGAAGCAATCTGGATTTACCTTAAAAAACTAAAAATGGAGGGCCTCCCTAGTGGCACAAGAGGTTGAGATGCAATCTATGAAGCTATCCACGGTCACTGGAGCACAAGTTTGATACCTGGCCAGCCAGGGGGCTACCCACATGGCACAGCAGACCTCTCCTGACTCGCCTGCTGCTCCCCTCAGCAGTGTATTTCAGTCAATCTGCCTGTTCTGTTTCCCACTCTGTCTCTGGTGAGTCCCCTCACCCCTCCCCACACACACCTCTGGCCTGTACCCCAGTTGTTGTATGCATAAATAAATAAATCTTTAAAAAAAAAGCAAAAAAAAAACCCTAAAAATGGAACTACTGTATTCCCCAACAATCGCACTCTGGGGTATGTTTCTAAAGAACCTGAAACCATAAATCCCCAAATTATGTGTTCTACAATGTTAATTGTAGCATTATTTATAACAGCTATGACATGGAAATAACCTAAGTGCCCAGCAATAGAGGACTGGATTAAAAAGATGTAGTATATCCACACAATCAATACTATTATTCAGCCATAAAACAAAAGGTTGCCATTTACAGCAAAATGGAAAGAGTTTGAGGGAATGATGTTCAGGAAACCAAATCAGAATGACAAAGACAATATTGGGTAATTACATAGTAAATGGGGCCTCCCTGGTGGTGTAGAGGGTTAAGCACCACACTATGAAGCAATCCGCAGCACAAGTTCGATTCCCAGCTGGCCAGAGAGCAACCCACATGGCAAAGCAGACCTCTCCAATCTCACCTGCTGCTCCCCTCAGCAGTGTATTTCAGTCAGTCTGCCTGTTCTG